TTTAATGAGTTAAGGAAAAAAATTACCAACATATTCATATATTTAACTTGTCCCTTGTACCTTTTACCACTTAACAGCGGATGAGTCAGTCAGCAGCAGCTCTAACCCACGTCCCTCCTGACCCGTCCTCTCCTTAGTGAAATTAAAGCTGCAATATGTAACTTTTATATGAATATATTTTTTTCCACATATTTGTTAAAACTGTCATTATGTTGTGACAGTGCGGTATGAGAGGTAATCTGTGAAAAATCTATTTCCTCTGCCTCCTCCCAGTGCTAGAAACAACCAGTCAGTGGCAGGAGAGTTTTAGTTCTGTCAATCACAATCTCATGTGGCTCATCCTTCCTCCGCCTCACTCTGTGCTATTCTGCAGCTAGCATAGCCTGTTGTAAATGCTTAGTCTAGTAAGCATAGCTACCAGTGATAGCAGATAAACGATTTTCCTGTAACAATAAGTTGTTTCTCCACCATTAGCACATTTAGCAGTGAATGAATGAGGCTAATTGACAGCGCTAAGAGCGTCCTACTAGTTCTGATTGGCTGTTTTGGTCAGAACGGTGCATTACTTTAACCAGTAATAGTAGTTCAGGAAGGAGATGGAGGAGATTGATTGTTTTCACAGATTATCTTTCTCATAACAAACTGTCACGACATGGTGCCAGCTTTAACAAATATGGAGAAAACACATTTTTTTATTAAAGTTATATACTGCAGCTTGAATAAAATGCAACTACATAGCATTTTTTGAGAAGTCTGGATTGCTTCATGTATATTTTGCATGTTGCCTATGACTGTTGCTCATGGGGAGAGACATTTCACTAATCTACAACTAATAGAAAAAAAATTAAGCAACCTAGCTGCATACTATATGCAGACTGTATGCATACTGAATTTTACTCTTGTATGTAAAATTCATGAGCAGTAAATATTGTACTAGTTATCAGTATTGGACCAAAGAAAGCAAGGCAGTTGCAAACCTTTGAAATTGTGACGCTTTTGATGGGTCAGATAGACTAAAGAAATTGTAACAGCAGCTGTGTGAGGGGGGGCCCAATTAAATTTTTTGTCAGGGGGCCCAAGATTCCTGGCATCGCCCCTGCTTACATGTCAACACTTAAACAAATTTGGCAAGAACATAAGTGTGAATAAAGATCTAAAAACAGGAATACCCCAAATATATCTATGCACAGGGAAAGTTACAGACTAAATGTTGATGTCACATCTGACTATGTAGAGTGATCCAAGACTCTGATGTATTTGAATGTATGCTAAAAGCTGGGTAAACAGGTTCCTTAAACACAGTCTTAAAGGTGTAAAGGTGTTCTCTGCGCGATTTGATGGTGTGGAAGGACAGGGTTCCACCTTCACAGTCAAGCACAACCTCAATCTTAGATGGATATTGGAACACCTCCCCCAGCACAGCATTGCTAGATGAAGAGCACGCAGTTAGCTTGCCGTTTTTCCACTGTAGTCTCCAGGACACCAAGTTGTGCCCCAGGCGGCTGTGGTCTCCACGGCGAGGGATGCTCTTGTAGCACGCGCCAAGGGACCACATGCAGTTGCTGCCCATTTCTGCCACCCAGATATGCGTTCCTCTGGAAAAGCCCTGGCTGCACAGGATCTGAGGTGCACTAAGGAAGCGCTCCGGGTGCTCTACATAGGACTGCTTTGAGCTGGTGCATCTGACTGTGTGCAGGTCGTTGGACACCAACAAGCTGGGGTGGGCAGTGCAGACGTTGAAGGTGACCTCCAGAGGATTGAGCAGGATGTGAAGGGTGTCAAGGAGACGGACCATTTCTGTGCGGAAGTCGTTGGTTTTGAGGTCTGTCTGGAGTCGCTTGGTGTTCAGGTCGACCTTTGAGGGAATCGTGCTGGGAAGACTGCCTGTGGCAGCATCTCTCAGTTTCTGTTCAATCATCATGAATCTGATGAACAAAAAAAAAAAGAAAAGTATTTCATATCCAGTCATAATGCAAATAAAAATATGTATGAAAACCTTAGACTTTTAATAAATGCACACATAGATATCTATTTTTGCAAGTAAAACTATTTTTCAGAGCATATCCAGCTGAATTGTACAAGTATTTTGAAGTTTGTCTCTCCCAGCTTTGCACATATAAAGACTGGAATCTTAACAGTTCTTCTTAGTACAATAAACCAAGTTCAGTCATACTAGATGGAACCACAATTTTCAAGTCTATATTTATCTAAAACAATACATTGCTGATTTGGCTGCATGTTTCATTCAGTCACAATACACATCTCCACCTCTGTATCAAATCAAGTTTTCTTACAGGTTTGCACTGGATTTACCACTATCCATCTTCCCATCAACCCAGAAAAACCTTATTTGTCCCTGCTGAAGAAAAACATTCCAATAGTATGATGCTGTCACCACCATGTGGCAGCATCATACTAGTGATGTGTTCAGAGTCATGTGCAGTGTTAGTGTCCCTCCATACATCATATTTTTCTACAAAGGGCTGATCACTCCCTTTTTTCAGTCTCAAGTTGAGGATCATCATGAACCAAAACAATCACTTTTGGTTTCATCTGAGTAGAGTATCTTCTTTCACATGTTTGTAGAGTGCTTAAGGTAAGGTGCTTCACTAGTAGTTGTCGAGTTAACACACAAGACTCCACAGCTGGTTGGGCTAGATTTTAGAATGAGATATTGGATCAAAGAATATTGAAAACCTATGCTCAGCACCATTTTTAGAAGAATTTATTTGTGAAAACTTAAAAAAAAATGTAATTGTCCACCCTGTCTATAGTGATACATTACTTGATGTTGGTCTATCACATGACATTCTAATAAAACACATTAGGAACTTAAGGGTTGTAAATGGAGAAGACATGAAAAATCCTAGGAGTACAAATATTTTTGCAAGGCACTGTAAGAATCACTCAGTAAAAAGTAGGACAGATTATGTTTGTACCTGTGTATGAAGGCGCATGTGTCTGTCTCGCTGAGCGCCTTGGATGCACTCTTCTGGGCCTCCTGCAGCTGCTGCTGCTGCTCCTCCAGTGCACTCACTCCAAGCTGCCAGCTTTTGCGCCGCTGCCCTCTCTCCTCCTCCAAAAGCAAACGCAATCGCTCCCTGAACCTGAAAACAACATGTTTCATTTCATGTCACCAACAGGTTGTCGTCACTTTAGGTTAGTATTTTAAAAGAAAAACTCAGTGAAAACTATAATGTTTTTAAGCTGGACACCAACATTCTGACATTATTGCACCACCTGATGTTATATAAAAGATTTAAAATCAAGTAACTAAGTCCTTCCTTTTACTGTCTGCTGAATTAACTAATAAAAGGTTTATGGGTGGATCACTGTATCACTGTCATTACCCAAATTAGTGAAGTGCCAAGATGGGTGTGCATTTTTTTCTACTAAAGTCACTTGCTAAACCTGCTTCTCAAGTTATTACCAGAAGCTAAAGACTAAATGTACTCGTGGTAAATTGGACAAAGCAGTACATTACGCAAGGTCCCTTTCATTTTAAAGTGAAAGAAAAAGTCCATCTCTCCAGAACATATTGCAAGCTGATACACAAATGCTATCCCAAAAATGTTTTAGTCCTGTATTTATGTATTAGTTTAAAAAGTCATTAATGGTTCAAAAGTAATTTTGGCATCACTATATAACTCTTAATCCAGAAATCCAGGAATGTAAATGTAAAAGCCATGTAAAAGTTTATCATTTTAATTTGAGCTTATGCAAGAGTAAAGATTGCTGAGGATGCAGTTTACTATTTTGTTTTACATATATTTTCATTTATATATGAAAATATATTGATATTTACAAGCATTACTATATAATGCTAAAAAAATTATATAAGCTCTAGAACAGTCCTGCTCTTTAGCACAGAGCAGGACTGTGCTAAAAATAACTCACCTGAAACCAAATCACCAGTTGTTCCTGTTTACTAATGAGCTATTGTTATCAGTGCTGCAGCACAGCTAGCTAACACCGGAAGGCAGAAAAATAGCCATTCAAAGTTGTGTAAATGAGTTTCTTCAAAAGGCTGTGAGATTTGTTTTGAGCCTGTTCATTTGTTCTCACCCTGTACATAACATTAAGACATGTATTATTGTGGTGAGTGCCTGCAGTATTTTAAATTCCGAGGACCATGAGGATGTCGTCATCATTTGGTCAGTAAAACTTTTACAACTTTGGTTTGACCATATCTGAAAGCTGTTGGCTTTTATTCTGAAGGCATATATTTGCTGTACTCCTTCCTAGAAAAGGTGGCAGTTGTGGTGTGTTATGGTCCTCTGGGCGTTCCGTACCAGAGGCGGGTTATGTACATGTATGGTGTCCAGTAGAAGGCACTGCAGAAAAAAATAAAAGATGCCTGCCGGCTAAAGATAAGCTGTTGTGAGTTCTCAATTAATGGTCTACAAATTACTACATGGTGTCAGAAGTGGTGACTCTTCAATGTTATGCTGCATTCCCAATGCACTCGCAACTAATATCAAGATAACTGAGCAGAGGAGATTCTCATTGAGTCGTATCCGCGATGTCCAATACTGAGAGGGAACGCGCTAACTCTACTACAGCAAGCAACCCTGCTGCAGCTAGCAACGTTGGAGAGGGATTTCGCCTAAGCCCGCCAGAAAAGTTTGACTGCAGAGATGTCCAAAACTGGCCCAAATGGATCTGACGGTTCGAGAGGTACAGGATCGTATCGGGACTGGAAAAAAGGGAAGAGGCTTTTCAAGTGAATACGTTCATATATTCAATGGGAGATGAATCCAAGGATATCCTTAATGCGTCAGAGCTAACGTCTGCAGAAAAGTTGAACTACAAAAAAGTAAAAGAGTGCTTTGGTGAACATTTTATTGGCGAACACAATATAATTTTTGAAAGGGCGAAGTTTAACATGCGTAAACAGGAACCAGGAGAAACGGCCAAGAGCTTTATTACTGCGGTTCACAAACAGGCGGATCATTGCAAATTTGGGGCTCTCAGAGATGAACTGATCATGATCACATTGTTGTTGGCATAAGAGATGCCACGCTCTCCGAGAAGTTGCAGATGGATGGAAAACTGACCCTAACTACAGCTGTAACACGGGTCAGACAGAGTGAAACTGTGAAACAACAACAAGGTTGGCTGCACGGTGAAAGTGGCCCTGTATCCATTAAGGAGCCCAGTGAAGAGATGCATGCCTTTCACTTGCACGCAAGACAGAGGGCAGTGCACAACAGAGACCAAAACTGAACAGGTATCTTCTGCCTGTTATAAATGTGGGAGGGCTCCATCACACAATTGGAAAGACTGCCCTGCCAAAGAGGCTGAATGCAGGAAATGTCACAAACGAGGACACTTTGCTGCTGTCTGCAAGTCTAAGCAGCCTGTACACGAGATGACAGAGGAAGAGGGACTCTATCAGGACAGTCTGTTCTTAGGTGAGGTGACGTCAGACAGCAATGGCTGGTACTCAGACATCAAACTAAATGGGGCAGTAGTTTCCTTTAAACTAGATACAGGGGCAGCAGTGACCGCCATCCCTACCAGACTGTACACTACAGAAGAGACGGCCCTCTATTGCACACCCACAAAAAGCTGTATGGCCCAAATAATACCAGACTATCGGTGGTAGGTCAGATTCAAGGCAGCCTTGAAAGCAAGGATAGAAAGTCCACTCAGTCAGTGTTTGTCATTGATAGCTTGGCTAGGCCACTGCTGGGTTTACCGGCACTTACAGAACTATGTCTTGTGGAGCAAATGGAAAAAATTGAAACACTGGAGGAGAAGGGGGACCCGGCGAGAAAATTCAAAAAGAAATTCCCAAAGGTGTTTACAGGATTAGGGAGACTGGAAGGTGACTATCGTATCCGGCTGAGACACGATGCTGTCCCCTATGCCCTTACAACCCCTCGCCGTGTGCCAATACCCTTAACTGAAAAAGTCAAGGAGGAACTAAAAAGAATGGAGGAAATGGGGGTCATCTCCAGGATAGAAAGCCTAATGAGTGGTGTGCGGGGATAATGGTAGTCCCAAAACTCAATGGCAAACTTAGACTTTGTCGACCATACCAAGCTTAATGAAAGTGTGTGTAGAGAAAGACATATCTTGCCCTCCGTGGACCAGTCATTAGCACAGCTGAATGGTGCAAAATATTTCACAAAATTGGATGCACGGAGTGGCTTTTGGCAGATTCCATTAGCACAAGAAAGTAGGGAACTAACAACATTCATTACTCCCTTTGGCCACTTCTGCTTCAATGTGCTACCATTTGGGATAAGTTCGGGCCCAAAACATTTTCAAAGATGCATGTCCCAGCTCTTGGCCGGCCTTGACGGTGTTATATGCCATGCAGATGATGTCCTTGTGTCGGGAAAGAATGAAACAGAGCATGATGAACGGCTCACAGCTGTCCTGACGCGACTCCAAGAGGCAGGACTAACACTAAATGAGAAATGCACCTTTGCACAGTCGGAAGTTCTGTTTGTAGGACATAAAGTCAGTGCAGCAGGCATTGAACCAGACCCTGAGAAAATCAAAGCGATTACAGACATGCCTGTCCCACAGAACGCAGCAGATGTTAGGCGGTTTTTGGGGATGGTGACGTATGTTGCAAAATTCCTCCCTCACTTTGCAGATTATACCAAACCACTCAGAGATCTGCTGGTAAAAGACAATGATTGGTCCTGGAGTCATATGCAGCAGACAGCCTTTGACAAGCTCAAGAATGAGCTGGCATCACCAACAGTCTTGGCTCAATACAGACCACAAGCTAAGTCAAAGGTGTCAGAGGACGCCTCGTCTTTTGGCCTTGGGGCAGTCTTAATGCAGAGAGAGGAAAATATGCAGTGGCGTCCAGTTGCCTACATTTCCCGAAGCTTCTCCGAAATAGAGCAACGGTATGCCCAGGTTGAAAAAGAGGCACAAGCCGTCACCTGGGCCTGTGAGAGGCTCTCATCGGAGCCATCACCGATGTCAGTTTCTATTGTGAACTGTACTCCAATGAGGTATGAACTCCGATGAGTTCATACCTCATCGGAGTACAGTTCACAATAGAAACTGACCATAAACCCCTCCTCGCACTCTTAGGGACAAAAGCACTGGATGACTTACCTCCCAGGATTCAGCGATTCCAGCTGCGACTGCTTAGATTTATATACAACATAGTACATGTACCTGGAAAGGTCTTCATCACAGCAGATACACTGTCCAGAGCCCCGATAAGGCATCCACTGACAGCAGAAGAAACACAGATGGAAGGGGAAGTACAGATTTTCATTAACACAGTACGTGATAACTTACCTGCATCTCAGTCCAAACTCCAGCAGATAGCTGACCATCAGCGGCAGGACACCATCTGCAGTCAGCTGATCTGCCAGTGCTAAACAGGCTGGCCACGACAAGAGGAGCTGTCCCAGCAGCTGAAGCCTTATTGGATTCACCAAGGCGAGTTAAAAATGAATGGTGTTTTTTTTTTTTTATTAAAGGACGACATATTGTCATTCCAGAGACATTGCAAAATGAAATGCTTGCCCGTCTACACGAGGGACATATGGGGATATCCAAATGCAAGCTTAGGGCTCAGCAATCTGTGTGGTGGCTAGGCCTGAGTGCCCAAATTACAAAAGTTGTGGGCCAGTGCGAGACATGTATTACGTACCAACAGCTACACCCAGAGCCAATGATCCCCTCAGAGCTGCCTAAGCGGCCTTGGCAGAAAATTGGGGCAGATATGTTTTACTGGGAAAATGACTCTTATTTACTGGTAGTAGACTACTATTCAAGATACATTGAAATAATGAAGACATCTATAACTACGTCAGCAGGAATTATTACTGGCTTGAAATCTATTTTTGCTAGACATGGGGTGCCTGAAATACTGATAACAGATAATGGACCTCAGTTTTCCTCTAGCTCTTTCTCCTCTTTTGCCACAGACTATGACTTCAGACATGTCACCAGTAGTCCATACTTCGCTCAGAGTAACGGGGAGGCAGAGAGGGCAGTGAAAACGGTGAAAAGCCTCTTGAAGAAGAACACCGACCCATACAAGGCCCTGTTGGCATACCGGGTCACGCCGTTGAATCAAGGCCCTTCACCGGCTGAGCTCCTGATGGGCAGAAGGTTGCGCTCA